TAGAAGAATTCCTTCTCTGGAACCTTACTGGAGTCGACCGGACGCTGGTCTTCAGCGTCCGGTCACTCGACCACTCAGCGTCCGGTCGCGCCAGACGCAATCTCCTTGGTCAAATGAACTGACTGGACCCTACGGCCAGCGTCCGGTCGCACCGGAGCCAGCGTCCGGTCAGTATTTGACCCTCCATTCACTTCCAACTCTCGATCATATGTGAATGAAGTTTGCTCCATAGGATCTAAGGGTTTTGTTGGAGCTACCTAGTGCTAGACTTAGCCAGTGTGCACCACACCTAACTCACCTAGGTCAAGCTACCCGTTCATACGCCCCTTAATAGTACGACCAAAGGAAAACAAAGTCATAAACTACTCTAAGTGTCTCTCCAACTCCAATCAACACTTAGAACTAGTCATCCTTAACCTTGTCGTCCATCCTTTGAAATCCGAAACGATTTCCATCGTAGGGGCATGATATCCATGATTGCCCAATCGATCTCCATTACCATGACCTAACTTAATTGCCTCTACAAAACACACGTTAGTCATAGTAATTTTATATTGTCATTAATCACCGAAACCTAACAAGGGTTCTAGATGCTTTCACCCTTTTCACTTGCAACTAAATGGTCGGGCTGTTTTGCTAAGGAGATATGCCATGTTCGCTTGGCTGATAAGCCATGACTGAAAGTATTGTTGGCTGATTTGTTGTGAGAGAAAAATACCGTTCGTTGACTGAAAAAGTACGGCTTATAAGCCAAGCGAACACGGCGATAGCCTCTAGCTGCGAAAAATATACTGCTCTTGCATTTGGTAGGAGCTTCAATGCTTGACCAAAGTCCATGTTCTACTCCCCACATTCCAAATTATGAGACGTTTTGACTTTTTTTTAATACTTAGCTTTGGTTATATATTTAGACATACACCACCTCTAGATATACAGTAAAAAAATATTTTATAACGTGAAACGGAGGGAGTAGAATCCTTGGTCGGGTAGTGAGGCTGTGCTAGGCTGCTAGAAAATATTATGTATCATCATCAATTTGTGATAATGATTGGTTGGGGTGTGTGAATTGTATAAGTTGCGGTGATTGTTTATATGGGCTTGGTCATTGCTAATTGTGTCGGATCATAACGTGACTAATGAGCTTGGTCTAGTATGTGATGGGCCAACATAAATACATGTGGCTACATTGAATATTTCTGGGATGTACACAATAAGAGCGTGCTCTGCTGGGATGAAGTACTGTTCATGGTGGTACGGATTTACTGTTCACGCTGGTATTTTGTGAGAGGAAAACACTGTTTCGGCTGGGAAAAAAAGTCATCCAGCCAGCCCATCTTTACCAGCCGAACACAGCCTAAATATTTGGGCCGAAAAATCATAAAACAAACAATGGGATGCGATGGAAAAAAAAAGTTAATCCAAACATTGGGCATGACCTATTTTAAGCCTGCCTACTACACGGCACATTTCATGCCCGACGATGGACGGACCTATGTGGTTGTGTTTCCTCGTTAAAAAAATCCCTATGTGGTTGCGCAAAGAGGTCAATTTTTTTTTATACCTCAACTCTTCGAGTACAAGTTGTAGTATTTGAACTCACGCATCAACTCACACCACCACACGCACATAAATTCACATACACCAACCCTAGTGCGCAAGCTAGACCTACACCTACACGAAGAGGCTGCACGTGGCTGAGAGATATCCGAAGTCTTCCAGGCTTCGCACGTGATAGGCACGTCACTCTAACCATTATGACACATCCACGTTTAAGGCTGCAAATACACAAAACCTGCAAATTTATTATTGAAAAAAAAACCCCATAAGACACGTGAGTGTCGATCCGGAGATCAAACTCACGTCCGGCCGCTGGCACACCTGACGAGCGAGCCAACCGAGCGTAAGGGTCAATTCCTTTTTAGTTCTGCAGGATCGTCACCGGCATTGGGCTATTCCGCTATTGTGCTATTAGGCTTGGCTTTTACTCCTCTCGTCCTCTTGAGTCCTGCGGTTGGTTTAAGGGAAAAAGGGTATGTTGTCGAAAAAAAAAGAGCCTGCTTTTGCCTCTCTGAGTTATCGTCATAGCTCAAGTTTTCTTCTTAACTCTAAAATTGATAAATCGTCTTTCTCAACTCTCAAAACCATTAAAATTATCTTCCTACCCTGATTAGAAGTGGTTTTTCAAGGTGATTTCATCATGTCAATAACAAAATCTGGTAAATGCCTAATAAGATTTTAAACCATGAAAAAATATTTCTAAGCTTCCAAAAATTTCAAGAAAAATCTTAGAAATATATTGGGAGAGGAGAAACCTTGATGAAATATTTAAATCTCGTGAAAATATGTCTAGAAGGTTCAAAAAAAATAAATTTAGGTCTAAAAAACTAGGAAAGATATGCAAAAGTATCTAGAAAATTTCTAAAAAAATTCTAAACAATGTATAAGTGCATTTTTAAAACTTTCCACAACAAACAAAATGAGATGCAACTATATTGAATGCAACTTACACTACCGTTGAATGAATTCATGCCGGTTGCATCCCATTTTTTTGTGGGAAGCTTTTTAAACACAGTAAGGCATTGATTAGAATGTTTTGGAAATTGCTATATATTTTTTTGGATATTTTCTATTTTCCTAGTTTAAAATCTAATTTCTAGAAACTTCTTGATATATTTTCACAAACTCTAAATATTTTATTTGGCTTTCTCATGTCCTAACATATTTTTAGGATCTTTCTAAACTTTTAGAAGCTTAGAAATAGTTTTTAGTTTAAAAACCTTATCCGGTGTTTACTAGAATTGTTTAATTAAAAATGATGAAATCACCTTAAAATCACTTCTAACTCAAGGAAAGAGGTCATTTAAATAGTTTTAAGAGTTTCGGAAGACAGTTTGTCTGGTCCGTGATAGAAGGTGATAGTCCATGGGGACAAAAAGGGTACTTTTTCTTAGTTTAATAGTCACTCGCATTGGGCTATAGAGCCATTATAGGCTGGCTTTTACTTGTCAATTTGCCGCCCATCACAAATTTTGCCAAACTTTGGTTGTCGTCTTCTTCTGGAAATTGTAGAAACCTTAATGCTAGCATTGGGATCTTGGAGGAGGAAGGTCTGAGACCTTTCGCTGCTGGAGTCAGGTACGGGCGGCGGTTTCCCTACCTTCCACTGTTGGCCTCTTCTAGTTTGTTTGTTAAAAAAAATTATTAACTTAGGCTTTTTTTGAATGCAGGATGCAGGAACGAGAAAACACAGAAATAGGAAAATCATAGAAATATGATAGGAATGCATATGCATACCTAAGGAATTGAAAACATAGGAATCATATAAGGCTATGTGTTTGGCTGGGTGTCTAAGGAATTGTAAAGGAATCGTAAGAACAAAATCCGTGTGTTACTTCTTTATTGAACTTAGGTATCCTGTCCTGATAAGAACATCTCCAAGAGTATCCTAAATTTTCCTTCCAAAAAGTCTATGTTTTCTAACTCCTAAAAATATATTAGGGGAAAAAAGAAGGCCATCTCCGATAGTTTTCAATAATTCACTCCTAAAATATAGAAGACAATTTTACATCAGAAATCCTATACTATTTCTAAATTATTTTAACCAATTTTATATATTCTTTCTCTCATGTACATTTGCATCTGGAACCCTTTCATACTATTTATTCTTTTTTCGCCCTTAATTGACCGATGAATACGCATGTATCCGCGCGACTGCGACTCCGTGTAAAGTGCGTAAATTTTAGAAGAAAGGATTAGGAGTTGTTGGAGAGGGATTTTTTCTCATCTTGCCAAAAACCAAGGATTAGGGAGGGAAATAGGGTACTCTTGGAGATGTTCTAAGGTATAGGTGGTCAACTGCAGCTCTTAATCCCTTGCTTGTCCTTGTTCCTTGTGTACATGATATTTCCCATGAGGTACAAGTGGATGGAATCAAAGGGAAATGAATTTTTCCTTTAGTTATCTTGTGCCTTTTCCTAGGAACCAAAGGAACGAAATCCTTAGAAATTGGAATCCTGACATTTTTCATGTGTTTCTCCTACATTTATAAACACCCCCACCACCCTATTGGCCATTCCTCCCTTCAACTTCAAATCATAAGGTTTGTGTCACCTGTAATTTGGAGCAGCAGCAAAGCCAGCAAACTTTTTTCCATTGCATTTATTAAACAGGAAAGCAGCTATGACTATTATTCTTATTCTTGGGTAGTTGAAACAGCCAAAATGAGGAACAAATTGCTACATCAACACACACTTTCTGAGTCAGTTCACATCCTTGCAATACAGGTCGTACAGCAATGAGAACTGAGATGAAAGCCCTACTCGACTATTCCCCGCTTTGCCCCATCCACCGTGTTCTTCAGCAGCATTGCAACCGTCATTGGGCCAACACCTCCTGGAACTGGAGTTAGGTAACCAGCAACCTTGCTCACCGCTGCAAAATCTACATCACCGACGAGTCGGTACCCAGACTTCCGGGTAGGGTCATCAACAGAGTTTGTCCCAACATCGATAACCGCAGCACCTGGCTTGATCCAATCCCCTTTGATCTGACAACCAATAAAACAGCACAGTGACTCAGTGAGCAATGGGCAATGGATGGCTGGATATTGCATCTTAGTGTGAGAATTTGTTGCGGTAGCTACATACCATCATAGCCTGACCAGCTGCTGCAATGACTATGTCAGCTTCGCGCACAATGCTTTCTGGATCCGGGGTCCGTGAGTGCACAATAGATACAGTCGCATCTGCCTTCAGAAGGAGCAGGGATACAGGTAGCCCGACAATGTTGCTGCGACCAACCACAACTGCCCGTTTACCTTTAACAGTGACTCCGCTCCTTGACAAGAGCTCCATGCATCCCTTCAAAGGAAAAACCGGTACTAAGATTTTTTTTGAGGAAAAAAAACCGATACTAAGATTAGTAACCACAAGTGAAAACAGCAACACAAATTAAGTGTTCTATTGAAGGGTAGAGAAATGTTGTGCCAATTGTTCCAATACCTTTGGCGTACATGGTACGAACAGTGGCTCTCTGCCTTTCATTGCAAGCTTGCCAATATTGAGAGGATGAAACCCATCGACGTCTTTCTCAATGCTGATCTCACTCAGTATCTTTTCTTCATTGATATGCTTAGGCAGTGGAAGCTGGACGAGGATTCCTGAAAACAAACTGAATTAGCTTTCCATCATAATTTGGAACAAGGATTTGGATTCTACGAAACCATTATGATCAAATAGTCAGTATTTCAAGAAACTAGAACAAAGCATGAATCAAATGAAACAGAACTGCCTCATACAAGCATCAGCAAACTGAACTTGTTGCCATTATATATATCAATCCAATGGGGAGGTAGGAAAGTTCATTTTAGAACCCCTCTCCATATGGCATGACACTCATCTACATAGCTATGAAAACACGAACTGATCGACAATGTACAGAGCTCAAAGTTCAAGTTTTGTGGAAACCATTAAGCTTAGATTGATCGTGCCCAGATTTTTTTAGCTATGGATTCTTATTTACAATCGAAACAATGCAATGTTTGAGCTCTCCATGCGCGAAACCAAGGTCTCATGTGTTGTGTAATAGAATGAGAACACAAACTGAAAGCTCAGCAAATCAAAAAAAAGCTCAGCAAATCGAGTTCATGGGAGAATGCTGTAGCATCAGGTAAGAAATAAATCACACCAAAACAAAACATTAGAGTGATATTTATTTTTGCCATTTGTTCCCTTTACTTACCCGTGCGAATTTCCAACTGGGGGAATACATAAGTTGTGATGCCCAACGTAGTGAGTGACAGTTCCAAAAGATAACACATATATACTGTACAGAGGCGGTACCGTGCACGGCGGGGTCAGCGTTGAGGCGATGAACCTCGGCGACGAGCGCGGGCTCGGAGATGTCCTCGGGGAGGTCGACGTCGATGGAGCAGATGCCGACCTCGGCGCACGCCTTGCGCTTCATGTTCACGTACGTCTGCGAGTCCTTCCTGCTCCCCACGATGACCACGGCCAGCCCCGGCACCTGCGAGCGAGAGAGACAGAACGGCGTCGTCAGCACACAGTCCCGAGCGTGGCGCCCCGATCCCAGAACTCCCAGGCGGCGGACAGAGGGGAGCGGGGTGCTTACGAGTCCGTGGGCCGAGGAGAGCGCGGCCACATCGACGGCGACCTCGCGGCGGACGTCGGCGGCGATGGCCTTGCCGTCGATGATCTGCGCCATCGCGGTGGCTGGGCGAGGGAGTGGGGGGGACGACTCCGGATGAGACCTGTGGGGATCTTTGGCTGAGTGGGTTAGGTGAGACTGGCCCATTGGGCCTACAGATTTCTTAGGTTGGGCCTGGAGAATAAGGAATTTGTTAGGCCTGTTTTGCTGCTGTATTATTAGCCTAGATCCAGTCCTGACTCGTGCGTCGTACAATTATTATTTCGTGTTTGTTAGCCTGGATCAATCGTGCAATTATTTTTTTTTAAAAAAAGAGTCGTGCAAGCAATTATTTCATGTTTGGTTCCTCGTAAAGATTATTATGCAACATTGTACAGTGTTTAATACACCATTAACTAGTATGTGTATGTCAGATTTGGTCGTATTATAAACAATACAGATTTGCATAAGTCGATGGCCATAGAAAAATAAATGGTAACGCTAGGCCCGCGTCCGGATACAGCTCCCGTTCTTGTCGAGCTCCGTCCCGTCCCCCGCGCGTCCGTCGCGCCCACGTAATATGAGAGCTCGCTCGTCGCGCCCGTGTCACCATTCCGTGATGGCTCCCACGCGACGACGATGGCGCGAGCAGGCCAGGAGTAGCACGATGAGGACCCACTCTAGGGCCGCGTACGCCAGCGCGTCCTCTGGTGGAGCGCTGCCGCTAGTTGAAAGGTCCTAATAAGGCTAGAGGGGGGTGAATAGCCTATTTAAAATTCTACAAATATAGAGCAATTTGATTAGTAAAACAAACAGCGAAAAATAACTTGCTCTAGCTTTATAAGGGTTGCAAGCCACCTACCCAATAATTCTATTTGCTATGATCTCTACTCACACAAGAGACTAAGTCACTACTCACTAAGAGCTCTCAACAAGGCTACACTAAAGAGTTCCACTAGATGAAACTAAACTACAAGACAAACTCTCAATTCTAGCTACACTAAAGAGCTTGCTACAACTAGTTTGTGGAAAAGTAATAGAGTGAGTAACATAATTATACCGCCGCGTCGAGGAATAAACTAATCACAATATGATGACAACCAATTCACCGGGAGAATTCCAATCAAACAAGAGACACAAGATTTTCTCCTGATGTTCACGTGCTTGCCGGCACGCTTGTCCCCGTTGTGTCGACCAACACTTGGTAGTTCGGCGGCTAAAAGGTGTTGCACGAACCTCGTTCACACAATTGAACACAACAAGAACTTACCCACAAGTGAGGTAACTTAATGATACGAGCAATCCACTAGAGTTTTCTTTTGGCTCTCCACCGTGGAAGGTACAAGATCCCTCACAATCATCGGAGCCGGCTAAGAACAATCACCAACACATGCCAAAAGCTCCTCCGCTGCTCCAAGCCGTCTAGGTGGTGGCAACCACCATGAGTAACAAGAAATCCACAGCCACAACGATCCCCAAGTGCCACTAGATGCAATCACTCAAGCAAATGCACTTGAAATCACTCTCATTCTCACTATGATGATGAATCAATAATGGAGATGAGTGGGAGGTGTTTGCTTAGGCTCACAAGGATGTCAAGTATGTCAAAGTGCCAAGAGAGTGAGCCCCAAGCCAGTACCTTCCTATTTATATATATTCAGCAAATGAAATAGAGTCAGCGAATGAAGTGGATTCATTAACAACTCAATTTACTGATCAAAAATGAAAAAAAGAAAGTATTGCCTTCTTTCTTATATCTTGTATTTATCGTACTTTTGTCATGGGGAGTCTCTTTCTCTTTTAACAAATGTCCAGAACTTTGGATTAAAAATTGGTGGAATACCAGGCAATCCGAAACTTTCTTAACTGATATTCAAGAGAATTAGAAGGATTCATAGAATTAGAAGAACTTTTTCTCTTGGACGAAATGATAAAAGAGAAATCGAAGACACATATACAAAAACTTCCTATAGGAATACATAAGGAAATAATACAATTGGCCAAAATAGATAATGAGGATCATCTCCATATCATTTTGCATTTCTCAACAAATATAATATGTTTGGCTATTCTAAGTGGTTCTTTTTTCTGGGTAAAGAAGAACTTGTCATTTTGAATTCTTGGGTTCAGGGATTTTTCTATAAGTTAAATGATTCAATAAAAGCTTTTTTTATTCTTTTAATTACTGGTTTTTTTTGTTGGATTTCACTCCACCCGCGGTTGGGAACTACTAATTCGTTGGGTCTACAACAATCTTGGATGGGCTCCTAACGAGCTAATTTTCACTATTTTTGTTTGTAGTTTTCCTGTGATTCTAGACACGTGTTTGAAATTTTGGGTCTTTTTTTGTTTAAACAGTCTATCTCCTTCACTTGTAGTCATTTATCATTCAATTAGTGAAGCATAAACTCACTCATTTGATTTCCCAATATTAATCAAATTAGCATATTTCTTCCTTTAGAAAGAAAGCCCTTTTCCTTTTTAACAAAATTCTTTCTATTTCTACCTACTCAAGGTATTCATCATTCTAGTACAACTATTGCAGTAGAATGACAACAGACTTGTGTATAGGGAACTAGATTAGCTTAGCTACCTATCTAATTTATTGTAGAAATTCCGAGATCCGCAATTGGACATGGAAAATAGAAAAAAAATCTTGGTTGAAGGAACAGATGATTCGATCGATTTCTGTATCGATCATGATATACGTAATAACTCGCACATCTATTTCAAACGCATATCCCATTTTTGCGCAGCAGGGTTATGAAAACCCATGGGAAGCAACTGGACGAATTGTATGCCCCAAGACTCAAAGAGCCGTTGGGCACTCTCGGACTAACCGGACGCACCCCAGCGTCTGGTCGCCCTCGGTCATCCTTGTGTAAGCACTTTGAATCTCGTCCACCAATCTTCAATGGTTAAGTCCACACGCTCGCGAAGTTAAAGAGTGACCAGATGCACAGCACATGACCAGACGCACCGCACCGCACCGCGGTGTCCAATCCGTTCCAGTAAGGTTCCAGAGCGCAAAAACAATGACCAAACGCGTCAGGTCTTAGGCGACCAGACGCGTCGGTGAGTCCGGTCGCTCCAGCACTTGTCTTAGTGTGTTCTTGGTGCTGATGCCAGCGTACGTCAGTCATGACTTGACACGGCCCCTGCGCGTCCGGTCGCGAGCTCTCGCCTATGTCCGATCGCCTCCAAGCACTTCGCTGCCTCTGGACAGCTGACCGGACACACAGCCTACGTCCGATCGCCTCCAAGCACTTCGCTGCCTCTGGACAGCTGACCGGTCACACATAGGCCTTCTCGGTTAAGTGTTGCGCCACCTGGGTTAACTGACCGGACGCGTCCGGTCAAGCCGAGACCAGCGTTCGGTCACGTGTAGTGACCCCTTTTTCTTTTTCTAAGTCCGTAACCACTTAGCCCTTGCTTCCAACTTGCTAACCACAAAGTGTAGAACTTGTGTGCTTGTGTGTTAGCATTTTTCAAAGCATTTTAAAAGGGTTAGAAGTTAGCACACTAGGTCTCTAAATGCAATGCATGAATCATGTCACCTAGTGGCACTCGATAACCGCTTAGCCGAAGATTTTCCCTCTTTATAGTACGGCTATCGATCCTAAACATGATCACACTCTCTATAGTGTATTAATCACCAAAACCAAAACCCTAACCAATACCTTTGCCTTGATCTCTTTGGTTTTTATTTTTCTCTTTCTTCTTTTTCAAGTTGAGCACTTGATCATCTTTTGGTCATCACCATCCACCATGATCATCCTCTTGCTCCACCACTTGGAATGGACTATCCTCTCTTGTCTACACACTTAGCACTTAGGATTAGTCCATAGGTTTCATCAATTATCCAAAACCAACATAGGGCTTTCAATCTCCCCCTTTTTGGTAATTGATGACAACCTTTCATAAAGATGTTTATTAACAATTTCTTGGATTTATGTTGCTTGCCCAAACGTATTACCATGTGTAAAGGTTATGGACAAGTTTCATAAACCTGATTCAGTAGTATTAGCTCCCCCTACATATGTGCTAAGAGTTTGGATTTGAAAACTTACACATATGCATAGATTTAAAGTTTGGGAGAGCAATAGCTACCAAATGATTCTAAGGTGTAAAGAATGGACCTTTAAAGCATGATACCAATCGGAGTTGCCATTTGAACACCATCCTTAGCACCATATTTTGCTAGATACCACTTGAAAACAAAAGACACTAGATACCTCGTGAGATCAACATTAGAAACAAGGCTCTAGCATCACTTGTAAAACCAATTCAAGTGTCTAGGTATCCTATGCATGCTAGTTTTCATTACATCAATCATTTTACTATCTAGCATACACCACATAAGCATGAATATGGAATTAAAAAAAACTTGTGCCATGCAAGCAAACATATGTAATGCACATATAAATGCAACAATCAAGTTTATGAGCTTGCTTCCCCTACTTGTGTGCTTCAAAATTTTAATTGATCCCCTTACTTTGTCATTGCATTTGTTTGCTCCCCCTATCTCTTACTATCTTTGTGAATTACTTTTCCCCCTTTGTCATCTATGACCACAAAAGGTGAGCTTAAATTTTAAATAGGTTGGGGTGAAACCATGTGAAGTAAGGATCTTTTTCCCATATATGGTTCAATCTAGATTACTTGCAAAAGATTTTTAACTCGGTTTGATCTAAGGACAAGCTTCTTCACACCTCCAAATAAGGGTTATCTTGTACCATGTTGAGTTAAACACTTATAACTCATTTTCTAGATCAAACACTAGGTTCACAAGCCCACAAACATGTCATATGCTACCACTAGATCATTTCAATCAAGCATGCAATAGTGGTACCATACAAGAATCAAATTTATTTGATTTTTATGAATGAGCCTAAGACATGTGAGGAATGACTAGATGCACTAAACAAGTCCTTAGCAAAGGATGAATGACATGTCAATCAACTTTAACTTGCTTTGCTCGAAGGAGAGGCATGTCATATAATAGGGTGCATCAACACATATTTGAGAAATCAAGTATGCTCAATTCATTCCTTAGCTTGCAAAACCTCTTCTCATCA